CTACCTCTATCTACCTCTACCTAGGTATCAATTTAGTTGTCTCGGGGAACGATAATACCAAACTTATCATAAGGAAAGTTCTCCAGGCTAACAAGCTGTTCAGCCCAGCCGTCATCGACCGCGCCAAGCTGCTCGTCATTGCCGATAGGATATAGCGCCGTTCTCCCAGCAAGCACATCCTTCTCCTTGCCCTTGTACTCAGCAGCGAGGCCGGGGTGAGGAACCCATACGGCCCTCATGCCTGCCCTGCGCCCCGCCTCCACGCCTAGGACGCTGTCTTCAAAGACTAGGCATTCGCTGGGCGTGATCTTTGGAACGCCCTCAGGTAGCGATGAATTAATCGCCTGCAGGGCAAGCAGGTAGATATCAGGAGCCGGCTTGCCACGTTGAATCCTGGGATCGTCTCCCAGGACTCGATGTTCCTCCGGAATCAGATCCAGGACAGCTTTCGTTTCCGGCCGCGAAGTCTTTAGCTCGTAGTTTGCTCTATGACTGCTCGTAGCGAGGGCGATTTCAACCGGTAACCCCAGTGTATTCTTCGCGCTCCTGAGATCCTTGAGAAGCTTCTCTACCCCGGGGAGAGGCTTGCATTCGGGGAAATGGATCCGGTGCTGTTCAGCTTGTTCCTCCTTAAACTGCTCTCTTGAAATTGGTAGCTGAGCCCAACTGTGAAAGGTGTCGCTGTTAGATCCGCCGGGAACCCCCATGAGCTGGGCCTTAATAGACCAGGGGAGACGGGGCCGTCCGTATTTGGTCAGGACTATATCAGCACAAAGGGTGTATAAGTCTTCGGTGTTAATGAGGAGACCGTCCATGTCAAACAGGCATGCCCGAACTGGGGGAAGATTTTGGGGAGTGACTCCGGAAATCGGTTCCGGGCCCTCATTTTGATTTGCGGCAACCATAACTGAAATAACAAGTAGGATAAAGCGATGAATGATTCGGATTTACATATAGATTGCGTATAGTCAGCTGAGAATGTTTGGCACCTTGTATTTTGCATTCAGTATTAGACCAAGTACCAAGTAATATGCTAGATTGGGAACCGGTTACTCCCGCCGGGATTTAATGGGTTTGTTTGTTTAAGCTAGAATTGGCCCGCCGGTGGCCGGAGGAGATCGCCTCAACTACTTGTCCCAAGCTTTTAGATTCGACTAAACACGCCACCGAGATGATGCGTAGGAAGGGAACGTCAAGAGCTAGAAACCCAATTAGCTACATATTGGACGCTATCGACTTCAGATGTCTTGCATGTTGATGAACTGCAAGGGCTCGTGTCTTGTTATTGGATAATCTCCCAGTTTCTGCATGAGACCCCCCACTCGATTACCTACCTCACTACCATTTGCTGAGGTGATTGACTCTGAGACTTTAAAGATATAAGAAGCTCACGAGTCGTTGTATTACCTCCGATCCGATACATAATATATTTTTCTAATATTTACCCCGGAATCTTAGGGTGTCCATAAAAGGCACAATATAATGGCTGGAATTACGAAACTTGAACTTCGGACGGCTCTTGGCCCGGTCTATCGGGATGTACTACCGAATCCTCCTCGGGACTGTACGGCTGACGAAATCCCAATTGTCGACTTGGCGCTTATGTTTTCCGAGAAGCTCTCCGACCGTAAAAGTGTCGCCGATAATATCAGATCGGCTGCTACTAATAATGGTTTCTTCTATATCAAGAACCATGGCATACCGGAAGAAGTCATTGCTCAATGCAAGAAGCAAGTAATCAACTTCATGAGACAGCCACTAGAGAAGAAGATGCTAGTAGACTCTAGGACACATAGCAAGTATTATAACGGGTATCTTGGAAACCGGAAGGCTCAGATCTCTCGCACCGAGAGCGTCGATGTCAGAGAGTCATTTTCATTTCGGTATAGCCCAGAGCTCGATCCAGATCATCCAATTAACATTTCCGAGCTTCCCGACGAGGTGAGATCATGGATTCGCGCAGAAGACTTTGTGGTACGTACCTATATTTGATCTCTATTTATCTACTTTGAGTGGCGTCGAGTTGGCTGATTTTCGGTGTCAAAGTGGGAGGGTACGAAGCATTTGCCCAACTTTAAGGAGGACTCTCTCGCATACTGGAGGAGCTGCTTAACTCTAGCTAGAAGACTAGTTAGAGTCTTTGCTCTTTCGCTGGACCTAGAAGAAGATTATTGGGACGATAAAGTCACACACCCAGGAGCAGATGGCGTCTTCAATTACTATCCGCCAAGGACTGTAGAAGAAGCCGAAAATAAGTTTGTTGGTCTAGGGAGTCACACAGATCTGCAGCTGTTTACGCTCCTGTGGCAAGACAGCGTGGGTGGTTTGCAGGTGCTGTCTAAAGAGGGACAGTGGCTGAGGGTAAGGTGCGAACAAAACGGAGGATCAACCAATGCTGACGGTTCTGAAGGCCCCTCCGATCGAAGGAACACTTGTTGTCAATATCGGCGACTTCATGATGCGGCTTTGCAATGATATTTATAAATCCACTGTCCATAGAGTCACAAATGAGTCCAACGAAGAGCGTGTCTCTCTACCATTCTTCTTTGGTATGTCACTATTCCGTTCCCTTCCATAAGATGTTCGCTCACTCGCTTACTAGGTCTCAACTTCAACTGCGTCGAGGGGGTTGTTCCCTCGTGTACCTCGGAGAAGAATCCGGCGAAATACAAACCCATCTCTTGCGGTGATTGTAAGTTTCCACATCCAGCCTGAGGGTACCCCTAATTGATGAACTCTAGGGTGTCAAATGAGATTCAAGATTGAGAGGGAAGATTTTCTCAAAAATCAAGAAGCAAAAAAGGCGGTGGCCCCAAGTGCTACTGTGGTGGCTGGATAGTGTATTTCGCTTCATTTCGCTCGATTCTATTTGAGGCTGGGTTATGAATTTGCTTCTCTGATTTCTTGGCCATCTACAAGACCTTTTGAATGAGTTCGAGGACGTCAAAGAAGGCTTCGCGTTCAGGCTTAAGAGTTTTAAGACCAAGTCCAACGACAAGGGTACGATTCTCGTCTGAGTTTTTCCTTGCGATGTGACTAGCGATCTGAACAGCATATAGCTGCGCTAAGGATTCACGCTCTTCGCCACCTCCGCCAAGTAGCGTTTTAGGTGTTAAGTGAGACAAGGGCAGCAGGTTAGAACTTGCTAAGGCCATATCGACGCTGGCTGGTGATGGTGCCGACAATGGCACTTGAATCTATCATTAAATTATTAACATTACGGTTTGGGACATGGACTTAGTATAGGTAGTAGTAATTTACCCATTGCGATAATCTGCCCTCCTGAGATAAAGTAACAAGTATCTTGTCCGAAAAGTGCAGAACAGAAGCTTCGGTTGCTATTCCGTCAATAGGTCCAATAGCAGCTTTTGAGTGAGCCGGGAAAGGCGCTTCGACTACTTGCGAGGCATCCATGGGTTCCAAATGCGTAATTGAAAGACACTCGGCTTGTAAGATGTAGATAGGTAAGTTGGATAGTAGAGTCAAACAAGGGTCATGAACATGAACTGTGGCAGTGTGGCCAGCATTAAGACGCTGCAATTCAGGGACATTGTTCTTGTGGCTTGCGCTGTTGGATATCCGCAGGTAGAGCGGGTCTATAGCTTATAAAGTGGACCGACTAGACCCCGCGCTAACTCGATTTGATTTTTGGAAGAAATTCTGCCAGGCGGTCAAAATTTCAATGTCGTTTCTCTTCCCAGTACATCACTCACTTTTCATCATCTACAACAGAAAAAATGCCAAAATTCGTACCGCGTCAGAGGAAACATAAAGTCCTTGCGCGTGAGAAGGCGTTACAAAATGGCGCCCGAGATGGTGGAGATGTACCTCCGCAGACGGACAGCAATGCGCTGGAAATTCTCCCCGACGCTCAGAAAGCAGACCGTGAAGCTAGAAGAGCTCAGTTGAGAAATGAATTGAAGGGCGAAGTTAAGGTTAGCGGCAAAAAGGCCAAGCGCCTTGAAAAATATATCGACAACAAGCTTAAAAAGGATGAGAATCGAGTTCTCCTGGCCGAATTAGCTAAGAATAAGATCGACACAAGTTTATTTTCGAGTAGTCGAAGTCTCGGTCAGGGGAAAGAGACGAAACGCCAGGCACTTAGTCGCGTCTTGAGAGAACGAAGAGCAGGAGTTGGTGGGGATGATGATGATGTCCTCTTCGAAACTAAGGATGCTCCCGCAAGCGATGAATCAGAGGATGATTTTGAAGCGCATTCAAAAACTAGTCGCTTTAAAGGTCAAGGGAGCGGATTTTCTCAGAATGCTGCGCCCGCAGTCAATGGATCTACTACTAACGATGCTAAAATTGCTTTACCGGAAAAGCCAGCGGTTTCTGTGGGGTCTGGATTAAAACGTCCCCTGGAATTAGACGACGAGGGGCGACCAGTTATACAAAAGAGACAGAAGCGCGGTGGCGTAAAGTCGAAGGTGCATGCGAAGGCACAAATCATACTGCCTGAAATATCACCCGAGAGTGCGGAAGAACGCATGGACGAGGATGACGCTAGCGATGACGAGTGGAATGGGTTTAGCTCCGACGCGTCTGCCCACGATTCGGCCAAGTCTCAGGAATCCGAGGAATCATCCTCCGAGGAAGATGAATCTACAGATCAAGAGTCGAGCAGCGATGACGAATCATCTGAAGAGGAGGAAGACGTTTCGAAGAGAAAGGAGAGGTCCTCGGCTTTTAAATCATGGGCTCATGAACAACGTAATGCAGCTCTTGGATATGAGCCTGTCAATAATAATAATTCGGTTTTGAATATTACGGTCCCCAAGGATTTCAAGCTACGACCGCTGGAGCAAGACCCGTTACCTATGGAATTACTTCCGACAAAGGACAGCGGGAGAAAGGCGTTTAGCGTTCCGGTACAGAGGACATCTGAAATACAAGATGCGCGGCTTAAGCTACCGGTAGTAGCTGAGGAGCAGAAGATTATGGAAGCCATTCACAACAACAATGTAGTAGTAATTTGTGGTGCTACTGGATCGGGGAAAACAACACAAGTACCCCAGTTCCTATTCGAAGCCGGGTACGGCTCGCCTAACTCACCTACACCAGGTATGATCGGAGTGACACAACCACGAAAAGTCGCTGCGGTCAGTATGTCAAAGAGGATTGGGCAAGAACTTGGTGACCGGTCAGACGCTGTTGCATACCAGATTCGATTCGAGGGCACGGTTGATGATAAGACAGCAGTTAAATTTATGACGGATGGTGTGCTTCTTCGTGAAGTCGCTAATGATATCTCTCTTCGTAAATATTCTGCCATTATTATCGACGAAGCTCACGAGAGGAGCGTCAACACAGATATTCTTGTTGGAATGCTTAGCCGAGTCGTTAAGCTACGAGAGGAAATGTCTAACGAAGACCCCAAGTTAGCTCCACTGAAGTTAATTATCATGTCGGCCACTTTGCGAGTAGATGATTTCATAAAAAATCAAACATTATTCCCAATACCGCCGCCGGTTCTTAACGTCGAGGGCCGGCAACATGCGGTTACTATGCACTTTTCTAGGCAGACCCGTCACGACTACGTCGACGAGGCCTTCAAGAAGATTATGAGAGGGCATCGTAAGCTACCACCAGGTAGCTTCCTCGTCTTTCTTACTGGGCACGATGAAATACAAAGGCTGAGCAAGAAGCTCAAGCTTGCGACCGGTGCTATGAATCCTATCGTATATCCGAAGGTTCGAATATCCGCCAACGATGCTCCTTTAGAAGTCGAGGATATCGACTTCGGAGAAACTAATGAAATGGCAAATGATGATTATGACCTACCATTTATTGATGAGGAAGATGAGGATGAGGAAGACGAGGGTGAATTCGACGTTTCGGAGGAGGTTGGTTCGGGGCCCCTGAAGATGCACGTCCTGCCCTTATACTCATTGTTACCCACGAGAGAACAAATGCGAGTATTTGACGATCCGCCCGAGGGCTCGCGTGCCATTATACTTGCAACAAACGTTGCCGAGACAAGTTTAACGATACCTGGCGTTCGCTACGTATTTGACTCGGGGCGGTCTAAAGAACGAAGATACAATAGGGAAACTGGAGTGCAAAGCTACGAGATCGGCTGGATCAGTAAAGCTAGTGCGAACCAACGAGCCGGACGTGCTGGTCGAACTGGACCGGGTCACTGCTATCGGCTATACTCTTCTGCCGTGTATGAGCGGGACTTCCCCGAGTTCGCCGACCCCGAATTGCTGAGAATGCCCATCGAAGGCGTAGTGCTGCAGCTCAAGGCGATGCGGCTACAACACGTAGTTAACTTTCCCTTTCCTACACCACCGGAACGGCAAAGCCTTGCTAAAGCTGAAAAACTGCTTCAGTACCTATCAGCAATCACCGAATCGGGTCAGGCTACTCAAATTGGCCAGACGATGGCAAAGTTCCCTCTCCCACCCCGTTTTGCGCGTATCCTTCTAGTTGGACATCTCCACGACTGCTTACCATATACCGTGGCACTCGTTGCAGGATTATCTGTAGCGGAGGTGTTTATCCCAGAAAGTCAAGCAATACCAGCTCTGGCAGCGGATCACGAACACGGCTTCCGCACCAACCAGGACGTAGCCGCGGAGAACCAGCAGATCCTAGCGCGACGCAAGTATAACGAAGTTCATCGAAACTTCTGCTCGCTAGACGATAGTTCCGACGCCATCAAACTCCTCCAAGTCGTCGGAGAATTCGCACACGACCCAACAGAACGATGGTGTGAGAACCACTTCGTGCGCTTCAAAGCGCTCCAAGAAGCCCAGAAACTCCGCCGGCAGATCACAAGCCTACTTCAGAAAGACATTCCCGCATTCGCCAACCTAACTTTCAAAGAAAAGCTAGACCGGCCCAGCCCCAAGCAAATCACAGCCCTAAAGCAAATGGTCGCCGCAGGCTTCATCGACCAAGTCGCTATCCGCGCCGACCTAGCCCCCTCCCCACCCGAAATCTTCCGCAAACCCCGCCGCGCCATCGACGTCCCCTACGTGCCCCTCAAACCCGCCGAATCGGACCCCCGCGACCCCTTAGCCGGCCTAGTCTACATCCACCCGTCGTCCTCGCTCGCGCACCGCAGTCCCCAGGAGTGTCCCGAGTACATCGTGTACACAAACCTGCAGCGCGCGGCAGCAGCCGATCCGTCCGCGCAGAAGATCCCCAAGACGAGGATGCTCGCGCTGACGGACGTCACGGGCGCGCAGCTGGCCGCGCTGGCGAAGGGGACGCCGTTGCTGTCGTACGGGAAGCCGATTAAGGAGGTTCCGAGGACGGATGGCACGCGCGAGTGCTGGGTCGTGCCGTATATGCGTGCGGAAGGAGGTGGTGGGTTGGGTTGGCCGTTGCCGGTGAGGAGGATTGTGCAGAGGAAAGTTCCTGGGAAGGGGTGGGTTGCTGAGTGATATGGTAGATTGGATTATGCTGCTTACCTAGGTAGATTAGAGTGGGAAGACGGATGCTTTTGTTAGCGGAGAGTAATTCGTCGTTGTCATGAGGTATATATATAAAAAAGGGAGGCGGCGAAATTAACACGATAATCTATTTACGCCCCTGGTGTTTATGAGCATGTATGTGTGTGCTACAAGTTTCAACTAGTTCGTCGAAATAGGATTCAAGTATTTACAATTAACTACTACGTTTATTTTCCCAAGTTCACCCTTAACCATGGCAACAGAGCACTAACTACGTGAGACCGGATATAAAAGAATGGGATTCCAGATTAATAAAAGGTAACTACCTAGGTACCCTACATAGAGGCAAGCCAGACAGCGATAAAATACAGTATCACGATTCACAAGTTACAATCGCCAAGCCAACACATTCCGAATATTCATAACGCACACACACGCATCTATTCCGCACAGCGGCGATCTGATCTATAGCAAACAGTCAATCGTGACGGTTCATCCAGTATACAGCGAATTCCCTGCGAATGCAAACGCCTCAATCTCGGCGTGATACTCGTGCCCCGTCTATATTGCGAGACTGCTGATTGATTCCCTAACGCCTTAAAATGCCAGACGAAACTGTTTGTCGTGCTATCTAACTTGGGTTATGTTGTGTTATGTTATGTGATGTCTTGGCCCGATGTGATAATTCTGTCTTGCAGGGCGAGGCCATAGTATCCCCCTGGTCATGCGGAAAAAACGTCTATCCTGTGTCTAGTGACTCTATTTCTTAGTGTTCTCGGTATGGTGGTGGTGGCGCCGTAGAGGATCCAGGAAGAGTAGGGAGCGGCTGCTCGTTAGCTGGAGGCGCAGGTGCAAATCCGCTCCCCATTAGTCGAGTTACCTTCACCATCATCACCGGGAAGTATTGCTGGATGAACGACTCGCTATTCTCTGTTAGTATATACTCGGGATAGTTCATATAGCTTAGGACCACTCTAAGGACCACTTACGTGTAATAACTATGATCTGCGTTATGCATATGAACAAGGTTGTGAGCCAACTCGTGGGCTAGTACAACCCACCACCAGACGGAGGCGGCAGCTTTGCCTTGCCCTGACGTATTCTCGGCGTGTAGTTGGATGAAGAAGCGCAGATTGCAGAAGATACTACCATCGCGATTGAAAGCAATCGTACCCCCCTCTTCATCGTAGAAAATGTGTAGTGCGGAGCGGTCGATAGAATAAACATCACCCACGTCGACTAATATTGACGCGAAGGAGTTGATGGATATGTGATTCTTCGTAAGGAACTGGGCAGGGTCAAGATTTGGTATAGTCCTTGCCACAAATACGCGCATTCCGTTTGATGCATCCGCTACAAAGTTGAGATCCTTTCCTATAGTGTCATCACAATAAGTAGCTTGTTCCTTGACTTCTCGAGTCGTTGGCGGTGAATAGACTTGGGACGAGTCGTGGGCTCTCGTAGACATGATGGCATTAAGAAGGTTCTGTTGGACTATGGCAGGATTTGTGACCTTGCCATCGTCCTTCTTGCCAGGTTTGGACCCCGACCCTGATGGGGGCTCAGCTGGCGGTGGCTTAGCTGGCTCTGGGACCGAATCTATGAAATTCCTCAGATTATCCTCTGCCTCACTGGAGTTATCAAACCCGAATCGTTTAGAGAAATTGGAGAAGAAGCCCTTACTTCTCCCAGTCTGTTGCTTTGGCGTATTGGCCGGCGGTGGTGAGAGAATTTCGCTGTCATCGGGGGATCCGAATCCGCCAGGCATGCGTGGTGGTGGCGTCCTGTTTCCGCTCCTTGCTGCTGCGGCTGTAGTAGCAGCCTGGGTGTGTCTTCTAAATTCTTCTTCTCGTTGTCTGATATTGGCTTGCTCAGCATCCAAGGCCTTTCGCCTTTCTTCCTCGGCAATTCTAGCCTCAGCAGCCTTGGCTCTGAGGATGCGGTCAACATTGTATCCGCGGGCTCTCAGGTCAAGTAAATCAAGTTTCAGAAACGGCTCAAAGAAAAAGTATGCTTGCTGACTTGGCCGATTTAGAATAAGCTGACATACTGCTTGTCCTACTTGGTACATATCGGGTTTGGAGGATTCGGATGCAACATAAAGGATCCAACCGTTGGCAGCTTTCAAACTTGCCGCCGACCTTTTTTCGGTGTGCGACTGACTTTGGCCACGGAGTGATCGGCGAAGCGAGACGGACCGCACGGATTCTACGGTTAGATTCTTCTCAAGCCATCTCGCATCGTGCTTGATGGCGTCCCGCGGGTATCTGGCATACTCATGGATGAAGATCTTTGAACGTTCAAGAACGTGCTTCCGAAGCCAAAGCGCGCCATCCTGTTTCTCACTCTGCGGCCCAACTCTGAGATCCTCTTGGACAATAGCGGAGAGAGTTTGGGAACCGAGAGCTATGTAGAAGGCTTCCAAGACGTCTTCCTCCGGCGCACAAATCAGATGATCTTTAAACAAGCGGTAGCTAATGTAATCGTCTATGATAACAACGCTAGCCGGGGTCGCAAGTTGATATGATCTAATTGGTGCCTCGTCTTCCTCAGTTTCCGATGTTTTGTCTTTAGCGGGCGCGCTGATCTCTTTAAATGCAAGGAGGAATGGAGAGGTTTTCATTTTCCTCCATAGCTCCTTGTCCCTTTTAAGAGTTGCCATATCTTCAGCTAAGAGTTTTAAAACGCTTAGGTACTTTTCTGAGCTTTGGAGAACACTAAGCAGTCTGGCAGGTTCATCTGCTGCGAGCTGGGCAATTTCTAGCTTGGTTGGTTCGGTCTTCGAACCACACGCTGATAGAAATGCATTTGCAGAGCTGCCGAAGTCAACAAAGTCAAAAATGTCTCCATACATCGTCGAGCTACCTAGATAGCATTGACGGGGACTTAGGTGGATAACATTGCCTGCTTTATCTTCCTTGTTCGTCGCCATCTGGGAGGCTGCTAAGTCCTTTCTACGCACTACAGGTACGATAGGAGCTTCCCGAAGCTTTACAATCGCGCTACCATTAAGCTCATTTAGGCGAGTAGCAAAATAGCCAAATAGTGAGACAGCATCCTGGTGGTTTGAGGGAGGTTTAGCTATTAACCGCTCAATGCATTCATAAATAGGAGGGTCCGCAACCACGCCGAATTTCTAGGTTACAATTAGTAAAATGTCCCATAAAAGACTGAAAAGGCAAATGAATAATTTGACTTACAGGGGCATGAGGATGGAGATCACTACGTAAGATGTGAAAACCTAACATAGCAGCGGCCTCGTTTGTAAAACATTGAGACGGGCTCGCAAGTTGCTGAGTGTCTCCCTGAAGCGGCAGGAAGGCTTTGGTTGATGCTCCAATATTGGAAGATGCGTACTGATTGCTATGGTGGTAAGAGATAAAATAGTTCATAGCATTAGCCCTTAGTGTGGGATTGACTGAAGCCATCATAACGACAATTATAGAAGCTGGAGGATATGGACGCAGGCCGAGATCAATCAAAAATTTCCCTTCAGCGCTTCCAGGCCGTAGGTTGCCACCCGGCCATTGAATGATCCTGAGCCCAAGCGACCGAAGCGGGCCTTTAGGTTCATAAAGATCAGAGACTTTATACAATTGCGAACTTGCTTTGGTTGACTCATGACCATAGGGTCCATCTTCTGCTGGACAAATACGTGACTCTTTGAGTTTTTTCAGATCATCCTTTGGAATATCTTGCCGTACTGATGCTAAATATTTAATAAGCTCGACATGACTCCATTTAGTTTGTCCGGAATCCTCAGCTTCTGCTGAACGACTGAGCAACCGTGTGAAGATCGTATCTAGATCAACGGTTTTTCTGACTCCGATAGCGGTAAGGAATTTATCCTTGAGTGAAGAGCATCCCTCGATAGTTGGAAGATCATCGAACAGTTTCACACTCTGGAAGAATGACTCTGTTGGTTTCCTCATACCCAACTTGGTGGGCATAACAGTATGGTTCTGGAGCAATGACGTAACGGTTCCTTTGGAGCTCTGGCTGAGATTGTCCCAGCTTTTTGACAATACCGTGAGGATTTGTACCGAAAACTTGGGGGATTTGGTTAAGTTCTGCTCATCTGGCCTCCTCGAACCAGTTTCAATCAGGAATCGAAGCCAAGGAACAATCTCAAGGGATTCCCATCCTAAAGCTTGCAGCTGAGTCGAATTGCAGTGCCTAGTGAAATCGTAAGGCAGAGTGGTCGGCGGAATTGGTAAACCAGCTGGTATCTTATTTGGGCTAATATAATTCTTGATGTTTCCTAGGGCAATAATACCACCTTGTTCATCAGCCCCCTCAGAGACGAGGGCAACTGCAACATCAAGAAGCCTGTCTCTACTTGGTAAGTCAAGCTCGCCTTGAGCAGCCTTCTTACTGGCCCAATCTATGAAGCTGATGAGTTGGGTCTTATTAAGCGGGTTTCCAGATAGTTCTATCCGGACGTCGTCTACAGTTATGGCAGAAAGTAAATCGAATTCGACTAATTTCTGAATGAAACCAGTGGTCCCAAGTTCAGGTGGAATTACCGGGATCCCATCAACGAATTTAGCAAGTTCTTCCGAACCGAGTCGAACCTTGTTAGTAGGAAGAACGCCTCGACTACTATAGACTTCTACAAAGGGCTTCTTGTATGATGTCCAGAATGCTTCCTCAATTATCTGCGAAACGTGACCGCTGGGCGTAGAATCTCCGAATGTGAAAGCCTTTAGCGTATGTAATGCCTCGGGCATATATTTGGCGACCTCTTTCGATGTGATGCCGGCGTTCGAGGTCTCCGCAGCCCGCTGCAACTTGGTCTGCAATTCAGCCATTTCATGCGAAAAAGCAAGCCGGGTCATAATACCAGCAGCTCGCAGCATTTCGATATTCCATGTTCGGACCCATCTTGCATTTAAATCGATAGCCTCCCGTTCTACGGTAGGTATGACAGAGGGCGCTGAGATATGAATACCAGCACCGGTCGTCTGGGTAGTCGGGAACCCGATGAAGATCCGACCGCCTTTCTTGCTCGGTAGTACGGAGGCAAATACATTAGTGGCCTTGGAAACGGCTTTAGAGCTCGTAGAACTCTGCGAGGCTTGCGTTTCATCATACGAAGAAGTCAATACTGATAATTTGGCTAGCTTTGGCGGAGGCTTTTTGGTGGCTCTCTCCAGCTCTGTCGAGAAACTAGTTGGGACGGACGTCTTGATCGCAGCAGTAGTCACTCTAAGAAATATGCTGCTTGACGATAATGTAGTTATGTCTTCAGATATGGCCTCTTGGGCAAGTTTCTCTTCTTTTGCCACTTTGTTAGCCTTCGTTGCAGTGGGATTGGCGGTGAGCCTAGAAAAGAAGCTCCGTAAAGACGGTATCTCCGAGCTACCTAACCCGTAAGCCTCGCTCTTGGTTGTTGCTGCTACTTGGGGTTTCCATCCGATGGCGCCCATGAATGATGCGTCTATCTGTGCGCTCGCACGCTCAACGCTCTGAACCTTCATGAGACGTTCTTTGGTAGTGGTTTCAACATCTCTTGACAGCGCAACGTCGACGCTGGGACTAGTCTTCTTTTGTAGATGAAGGATTTTGTAGTCATCGATCCAGAACTCAATATTCTGGAGCGCTACGAATGTTAAACTTGTAGCTAAGAACTGACTGACTGACAGCAGATTTGGTAACGTTGTCGTCGTATTTCGATAGTCTAGAACAAAGGCTGTATCTGAGCTGCGTTGCTCCTCAGGGACTTGTAGTTTTCTCGTGAAGAGAGCGTTCCCTTTCCAGTAGAAGGCCATAGCCTCATGACCCGAGCTGACAAAGGGTTCCTCACAGTCCGCGAAGACACTATAGAATCCTACACCAAAGGCGCCAATCTTAGTCTCGTCGGGGTTGCCCTCGGCGATCCTCTTCAGCCTTCCCCAATCGGTCTTTGTAAATGGTTGGCCATTGTTTTGAACAACGAGTCGCTTGAGGGTATGGTTTGCGATTACGTGCTTTAGAATCTCGGATCGGTCCGTAGTAGGTGGTAGAGGAACTTGAGTCGAGGGTAGAGTTTCCCATTTTATCTTCACGGTAGTGGCTTGGGCGTCGGCGGCATTCTGAATAAGCTCTCGCAATGTAGTCCATTCACCCGAGTATCTCGCTAAAACCTTGTCGATTAAAGCTCGAGTATCGACGGTTACGGCTTCCTCATCTTCGCCGTCCCGTAAGGCGGCGGCTCGGAGCTTTCCGTAATCCATTGTTACAGTTAGGTACAGTCGATGGTTGCTTAGTAGGACATAATAGTTAAGAAACGTGGTTGTGATTTGTATTCTGGTGGAACAGGAAGAAACAAATTATTTATTGACTCGAGAAAGACATCTCCAGTAAACAAAAGGCGGGTGGTTTGGTTTGCGGAATATATTAGTAGTCATCCAATGCAATGGTGGCAATTGCTGAGGCTGCGGCTCCGGCTGCGGCAGGGACCCGCGTAAGGCATTAACTCTTAACCAAGTTACCTACTCAGGTCAACATGCAAACAATAAAAACATGTAAACCCTGACAGTGAATAAACGAATGCACGCGACAAAGACAGAAGGCTTGTGTTCATATGTAAGGTACACTGTGAAGTCGAGGGGGTTCGAAGTCTCTTGATTCGTCTCAGCTGCAGAACTGTTTGGTAATGATGCACGTTTGGCCCCAGGCCCCAGGTTTAGGGGATTGATAGGTCCGAAATAGGTACCTACATGTATCTGTACTGCATATATGTACAGTCAGACCTGTCTATAGCGAATCTACAATATAACGAATCCTCGCTTTAGCGAATTCATTTTAGAAATTTTTGAAATTTATATGTAAAATAACGAATTTTTTTATATAACGAATTCGTTAAATTTTTTGATTTGTCATCACGTAATTCGTTGTATAAAGGTAAACTTTTAACCTTTTTTAGGTAAGCGCTAAGCCGTTTTCGGAAATATTTCGTTGAATTTCGCTAAAATCGGTTTAAGTTTAAGACTTCAAGGTGCCCCTTACCATTTTAGGTAATAATGTGGCCTGTGCACTTACCTACTATATAACGAATCCTCGATATAGCGAATCCAAAACCATGAAAAATTTAATTCGTTATATCGAGGTCTGACTGTAGGTACATTATGTAAGGTACATACATATCTCTAGTGTAGGTTTGGTGTAAACTCCACTTAACTCCGCATGTTCATGTACTTTTACATCCACTTATAATAAACATTCGAAATCACCTGCAGCAGGTCCTACGCAGCTACGTCAGCCCTATGCTACCAGTTCTCAGGCTATTTACAAACAGTGATTTACAAACACATAATAGGCCACACCAGACTGTTCCTTACAAACTCGAGAACAACCGTGTAAATATGAAACACACCTCATTAACATTCATTAAGTGACTCCTAGACAAACTAGACCCATCTAGCTTGTAAGCCGTAGTGACATTTTAATATCGATATATACCATCTGACCATTGACCACCAACCTAATATTCGATCAAACAAAACGATACAGAGTATAATTATGGTTTATGTAGTTCGCCTTATGGTTATCGATGATGATTACCAGGGGAATTCCTTCTCCCACGTTGCTGGGGGCTTCGACTTCGCCGTGGTCGTCCATCCCTTGATCTGGGTCTAAAACTTTCTTTCCCATCTCTTCTCCGCTCAATTCTCTCTGGGCTTCTGGAGCGGCTATGTTCTCGTCGGTGAGATCTTCTATGTTTATGTTCATCCCGCTCGGGGCTATAATCTCTTCGCCTCCGATAATCGTGTCTGTCGTCCTTCTCATCCCTTGATCGATGATTATGGTGACCGTCCCTTCTCCTTGGCGATCTATCTCGATGCCTCTCTCGGCTACGGCTCCTACTCCTATGTCTTCTCCGGTGATGTCGTCCGGAATCGTGTTGCTTTGCAGACGTCTGCCGGGAATCGTTGTGTAGCTGCTTAGTATCCGCCGGAGTAGCAGTAGAATCTCCGCCATCTACCACACCTCTTCCTTCGCTTACACCTATAGCATTTGCACCTGTAGCCTTTCGGGGAGCAACGGGCAAACCCAGCGCGCGAGCTAGCGCATCTTCTTCTGCTTCTTTAATTCGCTTGAGCTCTTCTTTTCGCTCCCGGGCTGCCCTTTCCTGCTCCGTCTCAGTAGATGATGCTTCGGGCGCATCAGCTTTCGCGTACCAAGTAAGATCTTTTCCTTTCGCCCAACGACCGACCGGGGCTTTCAGACTATGACCGAGGTAGTTCTCGCGGTGGTTCGAAGTGGCGACATCCTCCCAGTTGAAGTTGACCCCACCGCGCGAGCCCGTCTTGCGGATGCTCGAGACAAGATCCATAGCAATGTGATGACCGGTTATATAGCTCGATTAAGTTGAGATCACTATTCCTCGTGGAGTGTTGTGAAGTGTTGTGAAGGTATTACTGGCGGTAAAGATAGGAATGCGGACGGGTAATTGAAGTTGAAGAATATTGATTGAATCGAGGATACGGAGTACAAGGGTAGATGCTTACATGTACCTAGGTACATTCCGTAGACACTAAAATGCGCCCTACATTAACAGCCCCACTTGTACTACCATTCAATACAATACATACATATCGATAAGAGCATCCCGCAATCCACTCTCCCAGTCTCCACACCTTAGGGACGTAAAGTTACGTACAAGACAATCTAATAACTTCCATCTTTCGAGCTTGCGACTACTTCTCATTTCCTAGTCAAGACAAACCCAACGGGAAGCCGACAAAGATGGCGACGAGCAACGAGCCATTAGACGAGATTCAATGGCGCCATCCAAACTACGCGCAGACCCTAGGAGGTTTACATTCCAATAATATACTCTTCTACTTCGCCGAGTCTCCGTTCTTCGACCGTACTTCCAATAATGCCGTTCTCTTTACCCAAGCCACATTTAATGAGAACATGAAATTCATAATTTCGACCCGTGAACAATTTGAGGGTCGCCTCAAACAAATGTCAGGGCTGGAGTATATTGTCGCCCAGGAGCCTGCCGAGTCGGGCCCCGGCATGGGGACTGGCGTCTGGGTCATCCACAAGCAGACGCGTCGCAAGCGAGATCCCGAGGACGAGGTCACTGTCCATGCGGCGTATTATGTCATCGGAGAAAATGTGTATATGGCACCTACACTCGCAGATATCTTGAGTTTCCGGATGGTATTTATCTCATATATTGCTCTTCCTATTTACAAATATTTGAGTCTAACATTTGTTTTGTAGGTTACTATCTCATCAGCCTTGAGTAAATGTTTCGCCGCTGCCGATAACGCACGAACCTGGTCGCCAGCCCTCGGACATATGTACAAGACAGCACCGAGTACTACAAACAATAGAGCACAAGCACTAGAGTCGAAAGGGGCGACACCAATGCCCGAGGGACAAGGAAACAAGGCAGCCCCGGAATCAAAAAAGACGACTCAATCAGTAGCCGTAGACTCTCGCTTAGCCGAACATTCGTTCTTGATCCACATGCAATACGGTGGTGACTACATGGATGAGAATCCCATCACTGGTAAACCCGGCGACTTCCACCTCACATCCACAGGTCGCAAAGAAAAACTTCAAACGTTGGCTTTGCCGAATCTCGACACGTCTTTCAAGAGCTCTGCGCTTACTCAGCCGGATAAGAAGGATACGAAGGGTGATAAGACGCCAAAGACCCCTACAGGAATGCCGTCTAAATCTAGACGGAAGAAGAGTAAGGCTGGTGCTACCCCAACTTCTGCATAGAATGCCGAAGGTGGTAAAAGTGGCAAAGGTGGTAAAAGTGGTAAAAGGAAACAGAAGGCAAAGGACTCTTCTTCTAATGGATAGAGGGTTTTGTGACAAGTCGGCGTTCAGGGGACCAGAAACCCGGATATTGATACCCCTTGCTATAAGTATGGTCATAGGTATTTGATTTTAGCGACAGACTAATTCTAGTCTCAGGTCATTACCCTAACATAAATTTAATGTTTAAACGATTTTAGGTGGCCTAATACTGTGTCCTATTTCCAAGTCTCACAACTTTATGCCAAGACCAAAACATCACGAAACGGAAAACGAGTATGTCATTATAAGGGATTATCAAATTACTTAGACGGCTTTTACTATATTGCAGATTATCGAAAAACCGATAACCACCAGAAATTAACCCATCTTCACCTCCACGGCACTATACGGTTTCTCTGCTTTACTGCTCCCGTAGCTTAACCCTATCTTCACCATTGGGCTTTCCGTGGCTCTGGACCCATCGTGCAGCATGATCGAGTTCATCTCGCTCAGCTGGACTTCCTCACCGGCTCGGGGCCGCATCTCGCTCTCATACGCGTCGATCAGTTCGGCCTGCGACCGGCCTTCGGGGTTGGCTAGTAAGTTGACGAGGTTGTAAACGTCGGCGAGACCGTGGCTCAGCCCTTGTCCGCGGTCTGGATGAAGCGTGCTACGTTAGTATTCAACACGGTGTTTTGGGGGGGGGTTTCGGGGATGGCTACGGAGGACGTCTGTAGATGTAGGAGGCGTGGAAAAGGGACAGGAAGACTACGTACGATACGTCATAGGATGCGCCGCATCACCCACCAGCGTAACGAGACCCCCATGGTTATCCCACTTATGCTCCGGCAAGGTCGGGTCCCAATTCGACAGGCCGACCCAGTAGACCTCCTCATGGTCATCTGGCAGTAGCTCAAAGCACTTGCGTATGGGGTTCACAAACGCCTTGCTCTTCTCCTTGGCCTTGCGCAGCCGATCGCGGATACTCACCCCCGCCGCTACTTCCGCCGCCTGCTCCTCGAGGCTGCTCGGCCACGCGACGTAGAAGGTAAACCGCCACTTCTCGGGATGGTCCTTCTCGATGCCGTCCATCAGCGTCAGCGCGCCGAGCATGTTGTCTGGGTGGGGCCAGAGACTAATAAGTGCGTTGCCGGCGATCTTCCGCAGGGCTACGGCGTACTCGGCCGAGAAGGAAGCGGTGATGAAGGTCGCTACGAGAGGTAGCCGCTTGACCGCAGCACGCTCGAGCCCGACTAGTTCCCTACGGACTTTGCTCTGGCTTCCGTCCGCGCCGACGAGCAGACGCCCCGTCTCCGAGGTCCCGTCCGAGAAGTACGCCGTGACGCTCTTGCCGTCGTCCGCGTACGAGAAGCGCTCGAGTTTCTTGTTGAGGCGCAGGTCCGGGAGGCCTTCGGCGGCGAACTTGCGTAGACGCGAGCGCAGGACGCGGCATAGGTTTTCCGCGGGTTTCTCCGTCAGAAGCTCGCCCGTCTTACCGTTGAGTATGGGGAAGTACTCGAGCTTTGCGGGTTTTATGTAGGGGTCGACCATCGTCTCGTCTACGCGGCTCCATTTCTCCTTCCCTACCATGGACTCCAGGAGCGCGGTGGCCCAGTGCAGAGCGATGCCCCAGTCTCGTCCACTGATGGGTTAAAACATGTTGTGTTAGTCCCCGATGTCTACCCTTTTGAAAAGGGGGAAATCTTTCACGAGATTGTTTTGCTTACTAGTAATCATTAGTCGCTATACACAAGATAATGAGAGAAAACAAAGGGGGAAAACAGGAGTACAGGTATCAAAACGTTATACTCTTGTACATACCCTTCGCGGGACGAGTGTTTCGTCTCTCTCAAAGACTATAGCCCGGATGCCTTTCTAGTCGTATATTAGTAGGGAGTTCGCTAGAAAGGCATGTTACTAGAGGGAGAGAGGGCATGGACTACCACGTGAAGAGCTTGAGCTAGGACTAATCCATTGCAGCCTAGTAGGTATATTAGTATTTCGATATTTGTTTTGGGGGTATTTCATCGTGATAGGGGTTCTCTTACCGCCGCCAATAATGAGAATAGGTAGGTCTTCTTGTTTGCTGTTTTCTGCCATTATTGTATATTTGAGGAAAGCGGCGTTCTTATGAGTCGAAATGTGAAGTGTTTAGTTGTAAGTTATAAATACGATATCTGATATACTCGTAGGTAGAACTCTAGAATATCTTATAATGAAGAAAGTCAAGTGAATGTTATCCGTGACTTGATGCGGACTTAATAGCAAAATCCGTCTCGTCCAGATATATCCATTATATATTCATCCGACTCCGCAATATGTCATTTTTCATCTGTATACTCGTGTTACATCCAGCTCCTCTACCCCATCCACAAATCATGCCCGCGATCTGCCCGGAAACCGAAGTGGAGTTCACCTTTGATGTAATTAAGGTAAATATCCAATGAAAAGCTGGTGGACTCTTCCATCATTCGCTCTTCGCATTCTTGCGTCAGGCGCGAGAACACAAAAGCCCCTATTCGAACTCCTCAGATCATTAGCGAAGAAGGTCTGCTGCCACGAGATCGAACGACGGGGACGATGTCGCGTCTACAGTGGCACGAAGAGGTGGGGTACAGGCCACTTTGGAGACCACTTTCCGGACCATTCGTGGTTACAATTAAACGCCTGCAGACTTCACGACGAAAGATGTTTCCTCATTTGGACCAACAAACCGCCTTATACATTAGTAAGGTAGATCGGATGTTCGATGCAACGCCTTATTCGAGATACTTGAGGAAGATACCTAATACCGTTTACCCGGAATGAAAGCTTAACTTAACGCCTCGCGATCTTCAAGTTGCATTACAGCTCATGCACGAGGTACCGTGATCGGATGGACTTCGCCTGTGGCTTCACCACAGCTGCGAGCCCTCGACTCGGATCACATGTACAATGCTAAAACAACTAATTGGCTAGTGTTGCAACTAACTACCAACATTATGCCAGTTATATATCTCATTAAATTAGTCGGATTGATTATTGAGCGCGCTTTCTCGGGACATAGCTGTTAAATCCGGTGGTGACCAATATGATGGTGTAGGTTTAAGCCTCATCTCACTATTTACCTAGCTTTAATACCGAGAAAAAATCTTTGATCTCAAGATAAGTTTCGTAATTACGTCGGTTATAACGGCATTCATAGTTGATTCTATATTGACGCTAACGAGATACCTAGCTTCTGGACGTGGGTTATTAGTTCTAAGAGTTTTTTTTACCACAACGGGTACGATAAAATAATAGAAGTAACCAAAATCACCTGCGCAGGACGGCATATTTACTATTGTCTATACTAACCCAAGGTTCTTTGCGCAACACCAGGTATGTTAAAGCAGTGACACATGCCACTGTTGTTAGCTGAAAATGTGTAATTCGTATGACGTAGCATTATAGGAGCTATAACTCCTTTCAACAAAGTTGACTCCCTGGACGATATATCGGATGTAACATAGAAGTTCCACCTGTGGAATCAGGTGACTTGAACGGGCAGTTATGATTTCTCATCCGGCAACGTCCAATATACTACATCACCAATACGAGACGATACTGGAGTAGCGCCTGAATGATCGAAGAGATTGTCATAAGTTAAAAGGCCATACCTACAAAAGACCAGCAGCCCCGATAACCCTCAAAATACGAGATAGTAGTATTTCTTTATCCTCTATAAAAAGACTTTATGTACCACCAGATATTATTTGAAGTTATAGGCGAGCGTTGTATCCCCCAGGAGACAATTTGGCGTGATGACTTTATCTACTTTTATTCCAATAGAGTCCGCGGTTTAGTCCAACTTAACCAACCGGTGTGTCCTCATAGATGGACCGTAGGGTAATGGTTAAAGTTGGAATAGGAGGCTGGCGGTTTAAATCAAGTCAAGGCAAAAAGCCTCAGACGGGGTTTTTTTCTCTTGTATTTTTTTCATTTCATTGCCCCTTGTGGAACTGGTCTTGTATTGCGGAAGCGTTGTTGAATCTGAGAGACTACGGGACCCCGTCTGTTTATATAATCGGCCCTGGGGGCCTCGTTCCTTCCCTTGATGCTATAACCGTGACTCACGATCATGACGTGGACCACCTGCCAACACCCCTTTTATTATCCAAAACTGTTCTAATCCCTCTACAGTGCTCACTCTTTTCTAGGTATCAGTGTGTAAACTGATTCATGCCTACATGTAGGTACCTATGTAGAAGTAAGGTGGTCTACGTGTGATTCCCTAGATTATGATGACATCGTTGTTGTATTAGTTAAGATCTAGCTATTGTTTGTATATGCGTACAGACGCAGGCAGCGACTGCCTCATTACAATGAGTGCCTGAGTCAATGTTGCTAGGGATCCACATACGTATCGTTCTTTCCCCGGCCGATACGGTGACTCCGACTAATATCGTGCCGTCTGCCGGCTCATACAAACTTTCGCAACCTTATTTATTCCTTAACCTAGTCCTTAACCTAGCTGTCAAATACACCAAGGTAACTTTCAGTCCGCATCAAGTCTTCGCACCCAAAATTCACCTCGCCTACTAGGTACGAAGTAATCCTTCATTAAGATCTACAGGTTGGCCTACGACAAGGTATCTCAAGATGGCATCAGATACAGTCAATCATTCAGACGCGATTCTTCGCGTCTGTTCAAATTCTCAACGAGACTTAAGCGTGCATCTAATCCGGCCCTTCCCGCGCGAAATGCAAACAGTCCAAGAATCTCTCCAAACGGCCTTTGAAACTCTGCCAGTGTCGGGAATGGGCACCTTGGACCGTCTTCCCCCAGAGCTGATATTGATGATAATCCGTAACCTCGATATTCATTCTCACTTTCAACTCCGTCAAGTCAATCGTCGCGCTCGTATCCTATCAACCACCTCGCAAGAATACAGACTAGTTGCAAAACATGGGATAGACGCTTTGCAAAGCCTCCTGAGCACTGGTCTGGCGCATCACTTCACCATCGCGGACATATACAGTGTCCTCATCAACCCTAGATGCATGTATTGCGGCTGCCTTGGCGGGTTTCTATTTCTACTCACTGCCACGCGTTGTTGCTTTTTCTGCATCCTGAGTTCATCCAAACTTCGACTCATTACCACCTCTACTTTGGCCCGACTTTCACAAATATCCCAAAGCGAACTAGAACTGATATTGAATCCGATCCCGGGCCTACGCCCCGTACCTGGTTTCTATAAGTTGGGCGAAAAACAAATCAGGCTTCCGAAAAATTTGTTCACAGAGGAGCAGTCGATTGCAAGATTAACGTCACTTGGCGCTGTCCCGAAAGATTTTGCCTATATTCTAGTAGGGCACTATGATACCTTGAATGATCGTCTCAAGGCGTCTACGGTATTTCCATGGTATGACCCGGATACTGCGCAGGTCGAATACGGCGTAGGCTGCAAAGGATGTCAGGATCCTTTTATTGCTCTGTACATAGCTTTTGGAGGTCCCGGGCGGGAATTCTTTTCGAGAACGGGCTTCTTAACTCACTTCAAAACTTGTGCGAAAGCTCAAAAGCTGTGGGCTGAGAAGAAGCAAGGAATGAAGTCTGTTTAAGAGCCCGAGTTACCACGCCGCTGTGGCTACATGAACACTGTGGTCAAACCAAACTGGTCCGACTCAGGGTTTTCCTTGAGCACGCTGGGCGTTAAGGGTGATTCTATTTCCGTTATAAGAAAGCGTGCTCGACGGTTTTTCCCCTGATCAAAGTCGGCTACCTGGCGCCGGCGCTAACCAGGTAGAGTAATGCTGTAGGCAGGTAGGGGCTGGGGATGCTATAGGCAGGAAGTGGAGGATCTCTCATGTCAGGCGAAACTCTAGCTCTGTTCCCTTAAGGGAGTACTCTAGACGTCTAAAGCGCCATAGATGCGCCGCTGTAGCTACCTAGCTTATAGCAGCCAATAGACGTTAACGTTCTCATCATCATCATGTGGCTATATGAATAAACTAGGCTCTGATTGGCTACCTATGTAGGTACCTAGCTAGGTCGATAATTCGATACGAAATTCAACGGATTAGGTTATGTTATGAGTCCGCCATAGAGGTTATTACATAATAGGGAGACAACGTGCTGCGAATCCCGACACAACGGATACCTTAGGTAGACTTAAACCAGATAGCGACGCAGCTGTGATATGATGCTATGACAGGACACAGAAGTGCCTTACTCGTTATGAATTAACTGTACAGTGGCCTGCTCGTTTGTCATAATACCATTGGATGCTATAAAATGTGAAGTAATAATAATGGATCTTATGAACTTTTGTACTAGAAGAATTGTTGCAAAATAGATGCGTAATGACGAAAGTTGACGTCGAATAGACTCAATACTTACGTTTAAAGACCCGGGTGTCATATCTACCTGTTATACAGCGGCTGGCACATATATCAGGGAGTCATTCATGCAGTGAGTTGGTATGAGATAATCTTCAGTTGCAATACAGCTATTTCTTGTTTATTGCGTTAATAGGTAATTGCTATATTATTAATGTTTAAAAGGATTAAGACTTAGTTTTACGTGAAGTAATAGTGTTTACAAGTCATAATTGAGCATTCTAATTGTGTTGTTAGGGTCTTGGTAAGTTCCCTCTATTATCCCAACAATGATAACTTTTGTAGGCAATACAATGTTGTTAAGGATCTAACAACAGTTTAAGGCTTCTGATACCCAGAAAATACTTGTATATAAACTTCTTGATTCTACTTCGCGTTTAGAAATGCGTTTATTAACTACATCATATTAAATAACCTTTACATCAGACTCATAGTTATTAGTATAACTAAGAGTTCAGAGCGATCTATTTGTTTGAATAACCACATATATATTTTAGTGGTTACCGTGAGTGCATTAGTTACCTCACCACCATCAATGAGAATTACCAAGGCAGGAATCGTCCTGGTTACTTTTACCATTGCTTTGGGATGGGTTACTGAATCAAGCACTACTATCTGAATGAAAAAAACAACAAAGCCGAGAGAGGATATCTCACATTGGATATTGATATCTTTCAAATATTTTGACAGCGTTAAGCATAACGAATTATAGCATTGCATAGACTCTGCTCTAAGCTTACACATGCTTACGGAGCTTATGTAATCCCAATATGCTTGGTAGTAAAGTCGATCAACATACAGTGTCGGTTAATTGCGGACTGGTATTTGAAGAATAATATGGTTTATATATTTCAAGTTCTAACATTTTGCTAGGTACCTCCTTAGGTAGTACCACGGTACCTGGTAAATGCCATACGCCCTTGACTTAAGCGGTACTGTAGAGACCAACAAGATGCAGAGGTAACAGAGGTTGAATCATTATCCACATAGGAGGCTATTTTGCCATCCCTATTCACGTTACCAGAACCGCCGTGATATGCTTTACTTCGCTTTTTCCAGCCGTCCTACATACCCCTATATTCCTTTCCGCAACTAATAACGTCGGGTTATCTCGTCTGCCGCACGGCACAAATAGTCAGCCGTAAACCCAGCCATCAGAGCGCCACCAACGATCCAAAACTGGTCATGGAACCAAGCGCCGCAGCTCTGCGGATTCCCCAGGTCTACGCTGTAGATATACCACGTCATAGCTGCAGCAACGCCTCCCACGGTACCAACGTAGTACAGCGTGCCGCTGCCCGTCCACGCACCGCATAGCGTGAGCAGAACGACCATGCCCACAGCCAAAGTACTCGCGAGGAATTTGGTGTTGTTCCGGAAGCGCAAGGCCATGCTCTTGACACCAGCCTTCTCGTCGTCTTTGACGTCCTGGTGCGCGTAGATGGTGTCGTAGATGATAGTCCACAAGACATTGGCGCCGAAAAGAGCGCATGTCGGAGCGGCGTACACGCCGAACGGGTCGACGTCTAGCGAGGCGGCGCAGAAGAAAATAGCCCACGCGAAGGGGAACCCGAGGAAGACCTGGGGATAGTACGTCACGCGCTTCATGAGTGCGTAGACGAAGAACAGCACCACGCTGATTGCCATGTGCAATTTACACCCCGACGGGAACAGGGTCAAGATGGGGTAGATAGCTACCAGCAGCACCAGAGTGAAGATGTGCGCCGAGGTAGTCGAGACGGCACCGCGCGCCACGGGCCGGTGGCGACAGCGCTCTACCTGTCTATCGAAGTCCTGATCGACGGTGTCGTTCCAGCAGCAAGCAGCGCCACGTAGGAGGATATTCATGGGCAAGAATATCGCCGCCAGTCGTAGTAATACAAGAGGCTCAGGAGCGGTAGGGGCGATACATGCAGCGTACATGAGGCCGATTAAGTAGGGGAAATAGAAGGCATACAGGCCGGCAGGCCGTTCCAGACGCATGAGCTGAGCATAGGGAATCCATGACCGTGGAAGTCGTGACACGAATCCCGTTGTAGGGTCTGAGTACGGCGGGAGGTCAGCGAATAGGGTAGCTTGTTTCTCCTCGGTGTGCCCAGACACGAGAGGAGTCTTAGAGGAGGCGGCAGCCATAGGCAAATTCTGGACCTTGGTTGGGCTTGATTTGTCGTGGGAGAAATAGTAGCTTTATCATCGATCCCCTCATAAGTTGCCTGCTGGAGAGACGTAGTAAAGAACCGTTTACCACTGTAGGGTAGGACTAAGCGAAGCCAACGTACTATATATAAGACGAAAATGAAGAAACAAAAGACCGCCGAGCGATAGCGTTACCGCTTCTGTTAATATGATCTAATTCGACATAGTATAAGTCGCACAGATGGGAACGTAAGGGCCTGCGCCTTGTTGAGCTGCCAATGGATGGTACCTTAGGCATGTTTATCTTACATAGTACATTGCAGTTTCCGTACAAGATCATGACTTTATGGAGCCGGTACTTGGGTAGGTAGCTAGTAGTGTTGGTATATGTTGACCGTTGGAAGGATCGGCGCTTATGGTTGCAGTGCATAATATCACCTTGGATTACGGCATATTACCGCCAGTTCGGACTACTTGAGTCTATTATTGGCCGCAATAGGTAGCATAGCTAGTCCTTTTGGGCGGCTGTGTCTAACCGACTTTATGGATATCATCATGTGAGCACTACTTAGAATGGCCGAAGATCCATTATTATCTTTCCTCTCACAGCGTAGCTGCACGTTAGTTTTGTGGGGGAATGGAGAAGTCCGTGGGAACTAGGTTGATGGTTAGTTAACTGTGTTGCGTCTTCCTAAGATGTTAATTATTTTGTTGTTAATAATCTACACAAAACTATATCATCATACATACATGAAGCTGTTAGTTACCTATATTGGCTATTTCCTAATTTTTTTGCTACTATGAGTACTATTGAGAGCTTGTATACTGTATATTACGGGCTCGCTCTCGTTGTATGCGCTATTGGTCTAGTTATTATAGAGTTCCTGAGGCCTGTCGACTCGAAATTCCTCTTCCGAACGAAACGATGGAGGATGCCACCAGGGCCGCCAGGCCAACCAATCGTGGGCAATCTATTGCAAATGTTTCAAGCTCGACGCAATCCCCGTGCTTTCAATGAATGGGTAAGTAGGTACAGCCGTTGCTAAGTCATACCGATACCCTTCCTAAATGTCTATCTACTCTAGCTCGTTTCCTTGAGACCTTATGGCGAAATGGTGACGCTTCACATGGGCTCTCAGACCTGGGTTGTCCTCAACTCAGAACGTGTGGTCTCCGAGCTTATAGCTAAGCGCGGGAAGATCACAAATGAGAGACCCCATATGCCTGTTGCTAGCGACCTTGTTAGCAATGGGAAACGTACTGTGATTAGACAAGAAGCAGAGTGGAGGGAGGGACGCCGAGTAATGCACCAATTGCTCAGCGGCTCGAACCTCAAAGTGTACGCGGGCATGCAAGAACTAGAAAGCATCAACCTTCTTCGCCTCTATCTTCGACAGCCAAACTTGTGGTTTGCTCATAACTTTCGCTATTCCACATCGGTGTTGTATAGGGTTGTCATGGGTTATCCCCTCAACAAACCGAAGGCTCAACTCGACGACTACCAGAGGGTAACGATAGAGTTCGTGAGGAGCATCAACCAGAGCTTTGTGGACTTCTTTCCGGTCTTTAGCAAACTCCCTCGTTTCCTACAGCCATGGCGAAAATACTGGGCTGATATGGGCGCGTTTCACCGCCACGTCTTCCAAGAATGGTGGGAGCCCGTTCGAACCGCGGTGAAAAATGGTTCTGCACCGGCATCTTTCGTCCGCGACGTCCTCCTCCATCCAGATATTAAATTTGCTGGCAATGATGAGGAGGCCATGTATCTGGCTACATCTGTCATGGCAGCAGGTGGAGACAACACTCGTATGAGCATCAACACGTTCATCATGGCTATGATATCGCGACCCGGGGCGCAGAAACGCGCACAGGCCGAAGTAGACCGGGTCTGCACGGACGACAAGACGCTCAGACTTCCCCAGATGACAGATCTACCCGAGATGCCATATATAGCAGCAATGATCAAGGAAGTTCTACGCTGGCGACCTACCGTCCCTGTCATCCCGCCCCACCAACTTACGGAGGATCTCGAGTTCGATGGATATCGCATTCCTGCCGGCACCAGCTTCTTGATCAACTCGATCGCGTTATCCAACGAGTTTGAGGACCCGAACGAGTTCCAGCCGGAAAGATGGATTGACGACTCAGAATCGAACGCTACAGCCAACTTCTGGGGATTTGGCGGGGGTCGCCGAATATGCGTTGGCTGGAAAGTTGCTCAGCAAGCTCTGTTTCTAGCATTTGCCCGTTTAATATACTGTTTCGACTTGGCCCCGGTTCGTATTCCCCTCAGCCTAAAATTATATGCCAGTCCATTAACATGTAAAAACTCTTAGAATGGTCCTATCGACGATAGGAAACTCAACCACCAAACCGTCGACGAGCCATTCCCTGTTAAAGCTACGATCCGCAGCGCCGAACATGCGCTGCTCATTGAGAGGGAAGCATCCAAATACGAGACACAATTCTCTACATTTTAATCGCTGTTCAATAGAACCTCATCAAGTATATAGAATCAAGTTAGCAACCCTACCTAAGACTCTTGCGACCATGCATCCTCATCCCCCTTCCCTCAGCTTCAAAACAGCGCTCAAACGCGCCCAGTGATCTCCGCATTGAGAAAACGCTCATCGCCGCGGCATACAAATTCTTATTGCGCGTCAGCAGCGCTAACCGTACGATCATTTTCTAAATGCGTACGTTAAGGTGTAGTCAAAACTGGATGTGGCTTGAAGGATCAAGTTGCATGAACATCGCATCAACTAAGTCAGTTTGCGGAATGTTACCACAGGTGGTACCTACGTAAGTACTAGGGTATTAACGCATATGTAGGCCAGACCAGCAACGGAATCCCGATAACTCTGATGAAGAATTGATCTACCTGTATCTGCCGCTACCCGCCGTTGCTCGTGGGCATGTTGTATACAGGGTTGATAGTGGAGAGGAGGAATCTCCTAGTGTATCCTCAAACGTGCATCCTAAGGAGGCTAAGTTGAGTCCAGAGTATATTATGTGTTGGTTCACGTATTTAGTGAGTGGGGATATGTTGTAATCTGAATGTAACAAAACTTGACCGATTACGTTGTTGATGTGATTGAATTTTCCTCCTTGTATGCCACGTGTGTAACCGCTATATTCCCGAAGTGTACACAGTAGAGTATCCCAGCCAATAGGATATAGCCGAGGCTTGGCATATACCCAATGAGGAAGGCTCCCCTGGATTTGGGCCAATCAGAGTCTTGATGGACTAAAGGGGATTTCCCTTTATGCGGTTGGCGCTGCTAAAGATTCCTTGTTGGTATTGATCCTTTTGTTGGTTGATTTATACGCCGTTCGGTCCGCATGCATAGTGTATTTCCTTGCATCACTAATGTTCCCTGCAGCCGCATCTCGTTCCTCGTACCATACAATATCTTTGGACGGTTGGTAAGGGTTATTTGTTATATGCAGGTCATCAATATTGTCAGAACCAAGCGTACCTAGCTTGACTTACGACGGAAGATAGGACATTTACCAAGCTAAGCAACATTCCGCTTAACCCGACATATGGACATATTTCTCACGTCCCATTCCCATTGCTTGGGTATAGAAAACATGTGGAAGCAGATTAAACCTTAGGTTTAGGTACCTAATGTATGTGTCTTTTCGGTAAAATCGCAGTATGAGTGACTCCTTGGTATAGGCTCGAAGACCTAAAACTTCGGGAAATACCCCTTAATCAGTTGCTGCTTCTTCTAGCTTTTTCCTTAGTTAATGCCGTTATATCTACGTTATTTTATCCCGCCTAGCAGCCTATAAAGAGTTACTCAGAACCTTATCTTATTAAATAACCAGGTACTGTAGTTAATTTACAGATATTCTCCAATGGCCGTGTCAAATCCATGTCTACCTCGGTCCAATTTGAGCAAATGCAGTCGTTTGAATAGAGTTGACCGATGTCCTATGTACAGGGGAAATGCGCCCGTGCACCTAACCATGGTAGTAGACATCATCGTACCAGTGAATAATATATTCGCCATCACGATCCTAGCGGGGGTCACTGATGTATCACTTTATCCCTTCATCAGGCCACTGCTGTCTAGCCATAAGCAGCCCCTTTCCTACTTCCGAGTTTTCATAGGGTTGTCACATCTAGCTCCGCTTCAACCAAACTTTCCTGACCAAATTCATAACTGTAGATCTTCACAATATTGAACCCTGCTTTCTTCAGCAACTCAGTCAAGTGTGCTTCAGTCCGTTCCTGTATAGCGGCAAGCACAAGCATTAGCTGATCCATGGACGTGATCGGCCACGTGGGGTTCTGGCGAGGCACCACGATCTCGTTCAGAAGCAATCTGGAGTATCCCGGCTTCATAGCAGGCTTCAACTGCTGTAAGATCTTTATGCAGTCATCGTCTCCCCAATTGTGAAGAATAGAGTGGAGATAATACGCACGGGCGTGCTTGATCGGTTGGGCTGTGAAGAAATCGTGGGAGACCGCTTCAAAGCTATCATCGGAAACGGTGGAGATGACTGCCGGCCGATCCTGCAAGATAAGCTTGCCGGGTATTTGGGGATATTTCGCCTTCAACTCATGCAAGTCATGGCCCTTACCCCCACCAACATCCACGAGGAAAACATCGCTGTAATCAGAGTTGAAACCTTCGATGAGCCGATCAGACACGGGATAAAATCCGGGGTCAACCCATGATGGCTTTCCGAACCTATAAGCTGACATGTAGTTATTGAAGGCCTGGAGGTAAGGAGGAGTTTTATCCAACCAAGCGAAAGCCGACAATTCTGTTTTATGTGCTGCTTGAAATGGTCCATCTGTCACACTTGTTGGTAGTTTATAACCGGTGTTCTTGAGATACTCGGGCAAGTGGCGAAACGATACACCGGCAACATCGTAGCTATAACAAATTCTTAGAATATCGTGAATAATGCAAACAGCTATTCATCATGGAGTAAAAAAAAAAGAAAAAAAAAAGAAAAAAGAAAGAAAGACCAAGGTGAGATCTGAGTGTTACTGACAGAAATAGAATGCCATCCCTATATCTGGACTCTGAAAGAGCTTCAGCTAATGGGGTAGCAGAGTATGTATTCTCACTTTTCTCGCTGACTACATTCATAGCAGCAAGATGCCTCATGGTCCGTGCTAATAAGTTATGCCGAGTTAGCTGTTCTCGTTCCTTACATTAGATTATACGGTATGGTTTACAAATTAAGACTTCGTCCGCACTGCACTTCGCGGCAAGCTCCTTAGCAGTGATGCCAGCTTCGCCACTTTGTTTCAAGTGTTCGAATATATTAAGATCGACTGCAGTACGGCAATTGGCCGCTCTGGCCGGCTGAGAACGGGATTAGTAACGTTCGAGTTTGTTCTAGACCACGCAAGGAGAAAGATATGAGACAATAAAAAGCAAGCATTATCCTAAACTTACTTCAGCCCATCCCATTCGCATTATCGCCTCGCTGGGCAACTCTAAGCTCGAAATCAAGTCATGACTAAGACTCATGAGCTTCTCGCGGGCCCCTGGCGTATTCTCTTTGTACGAGGCGCCAGCTGTTTGAAGCTGCGAGAGGATAGCCTCGACTTGGGACGTATCTTGAGTCATCTTCGTTATGGTAAGATAAAATGAAATAAATCCAGTTATTGATGACAAAGTGTATATTCCGTAGTGAGGTAGAAATGATTTATTATCATGGCCCTATACGGGCACCGTAGTTACACAAGACTTCTAGCCCCCATTAGAGAAACTCGGAAAGTACCTCGGTATTGAATGCAAATGTACCTGACAGGCTTTGTGTAAGCTAGTTGCACTTGTTGGTGTGATGAAATGCATGCTAGAATATCGATAAGCATCTTTAACCACAATAACTAGGGAAAGGGTACGCGAAGGATCAACATCAACGCCACCTTCATGCATGTCAGATAGCGTTATAGATATCCATAAACAGTTTCTCGATTCCTATAACTATACACGCTAGTATAAAATAACGCCGAAGGACAATCGGCTTAAAGCTTACCTACCTCTTACTATGTAGTGTACGGCACTTGAGTATCCACTCCGAGAGTACCTAATCCATGAATTCTTGGCTGTTATTGGCGTAGGGGTTAAGCTTACAGGGTGAGCCCGGATCCCACCCCGGCCCCTCCGCGTAAGCTTGTCTTTACATTCAGTAACCTGCTTTACATTCTTTTGATCACCTTTCTCTTTGGTCTCTAGGCTTCCCCATAATGTTGATGATAAAAGGTACGGGGCACTTAGATGCTACATTGAAATATGGGGATGAAAATTTGTTAGGCTATTTTAGTTTAGTTACCTTTGTTTAGGTAGAATCCTCAGGTGAACTGGCGATCGGTGACCCTTAGATTCGAGGAGAACCCGCGTATTGAGTGGAGAAGTTGCCGAATCATTCTGTAAATAGTAGAAGAGACGTATATCTGTAATGCTAGATAGTAGCTATTAGGTAAAGTGTTCATCAGTATGTGCACCGGGTATCCTATATTTACATGTGTGCCAATATTTTACATATGTGCTTATCAATTACAAGGGGAACCTTCCTTCTGCTCAGGATCTGTCTCCAATCACATAGCCCTGAATAACTTCGCCCCCAATATCTTGGCATTTGGATTCGAGCAGTCACCGGGTATCCCCAAATTCCAAGTCATAACTTTTTAATCCGCTATCCGAACCCAAGCCCCATTTCTAAGCTCATGCCGAGTAAGCTCAATCTCGTCGGTGATATGGACCCCGGGGCCACTGATGATACCGGCTCCAGTAACCGATATGTTGGCATTATAAGGTTGTTGAGACATATGGCTTTTGCTATGACGACCAGAGTGCTGGGAGCTTTTCATCGTAGTGCCTGTAATGTAGCGCCGGTAAAGAGGTCCGTACGTCGGAATCGAGGCCGCTAAAATTCCGACTAGGAGCTCAGTAGCAGATACGAAGCCTGGATTGACATTGTCCCCTTAAGAAGAATTAGGCATAAGCAATTTGATATGATGCAAGGTGGGACTTACAGCTAACATCCGACGTTGAGCTAACGACAAGACTATACGCCAACCTAATAATACTGACGATACAAGCGCTATAATAGAGACCGGATATTAGAATGATTATTATAGCGAAAGAAAGTTATGTGAAGTAAACGAGAATATCTCACCTGCTACCCGTGGCGAATATAAAAATCAGCTGGGTCCTTTTTTGCTTCGAGACCTGGAGTCGCAGGATCATAGGAATAGGTAGCGCAAGGATGACGAAGTCGGTTATAACGTTGATTACGCCAGCAATAAGTACTAGCAAGCCGTAGTTGATACAAAATCCGCCTGGGATAGTCGTGTCCCAAGCAAATTCGATCGGCGTGCACTGAAATATCGATACGACTGTTGATGAGATAAACCAAGCGGCGACAAATGCCGAGATGATCCATAGATAGATGTGAAAGCGCTTCGAGGCGAAGATTGCGCCGTAGAAGCTCAGGATACTGAACTTTATGAAGCCAATAGAGAAATAGTAAAATACTTCGAGGATAATGCCCCACTGGATATAAGTTAGTTGATTTAGATGCTAGGTACCGTAGGTGAATAGGTATTATAGCCCAAGACTTACAATCCGAAGATTTCTTGCGTCCGTGACGAAGATGATATGCTTCCCTAATCCGTATACTGCTGATAGCGAAAAGCTGACAAGAGCGGCGATATAACAGACCTTTAGTGGAATACAGAGTCAGTTTGCTAAAGTTATTGAAGTCAAGCCCTTTGGAAAAGATCAGGTTATACGTACCCACGCTATCATTATTAGCCAGTCACTTGTGTTTAATACTATCCGACCATGGGCGACACGTCGTGCCCAAATCCGTATGAGGATAACGAAAACAGATGCGACTCCCGTCGCGATACTGCACGCGTATATGTTGGGCACAAGAGTGTCATCTTCGTGCGCCAGCATATACGCTATTTCATCCGGCGTTAATGGGTTCGCCATATTATCGAAGGGAAAGACAAGTTACCTAGGCGGCCTTGAGTCTTGTTGACGACGATATTGAAGTACCTAAGACGATTTCTTCATAATAAATTACTGGGGAATGGGATGGTTACAAAAGAAGGGTTCTCGAAAAGAATATAGAGGACCAGTGAGGTCAGCTTATGGCTGTGCTGAGCGACATATTGGGATGGTATCACCACAGCCGGGTTTCATGCCGCATGGCAAGGCAAGGTTTATTTAGGTGAGAAGCTATATTCAATAAAGTGAGATAACCATGTAACGGATTCTATAATGTAACCCTATTGCGATCCATCGTACCTGGGTATCCATATCCATTTTTGGAGTTGTTGGAGTGGGTAAAATACTAAAATAATAAGCCGAATAAGGTAATACTTGTTGGTGTGTCAGTGTGTATAAGTGGCATGTAAAAAGTGGCATGTAAAGTAACTTAACACTCTTGAGCTTCCATTTACAACCAATCGTGTTTCATGCCACTTTACATAGTATTCCAACAACCACTTTTGTCTCTACATATACGGGAAGCTGTGTAACTAGAAAGCACCTAAGGACTTAAAGTCCTTACCTCCGTATTTCCTTATTAAAATCCTCGATCCTACCCGCAACCTCTAACGTTTGATCTATCTTATAAACTCACTATCATTGTGGAATCGATGGTTAGGACGTGGAGACGATCATTGCTTTATATTACCTAAGGGCATTTTCATCCCCTCCTTCTCATCCTAGGCAGTTTATCTTACCTATCTACCTGGTATTATCAGGGATACCTATCACTTTTATCAAATCACAAGGCTCGCTATGGGGTTATACACTCAACTTCCTGATGCCATCCAAGAGGTGGATGTAATCATCGCTGGAGGTATGATGAAGCCATTCACTATTAATAACGGGAACCTGAACTAATCGGTAAATACCTAAACTATAGGTGGTACTGCCGGTTGTATAATTGCGTCCAGACTTGCTGATGCGGACCCAAATTTGAGTGTCTTGGTCATTGAAGGTGGACCGAACAACTACAATGAGCCTCTTATCGTGCATCCCGCCTTTTTCTTCAGCAACCTAGCACCTGGCACAAAAACGATCGCATTCAAAGTGGGCAATAAGTCAGAGCATCTCGCCGGCCGAGAACTTGTTGTTCCTACCGCCAACGTCCTTGGCGGGGGTTCTTCTGTGAACTTCTCACTATACAGTCGAGCTCAGCGAACTGACCTCGATGCCTGGCAAGCGCCAGGATGGTCCGCAGATGAACTGTTGCCATACATGAAAAAGGTACTTTTAGCAGTTCCCTCGACTTTTCTAAATACTAAAAGTTTCAGATTGAAACGTACCACGGCGCGGACCCGAAAGGCTTACATGGAACCGACGGTCCAATCATCGTTTCCAGTGGCTCGTATCGTGCTACTCGAATCGAAGAAGACTTCCTTAACGCCATTAAGGCAGTAGGCTACCCCGAAATTGAAGACATAAATGATCTCGACAGCAACAACGGTGCTCAGCGCGCCGTACGCTACGTAGCTCCGGACGGGTTGAGACAAGACGTGGCCCATTCATACCTCCATCCCAGGCTTAGGGATGGAAAGCATCCAAACCTTCACGTTCTCGTCGAGTCTAAAGTAATACGACTTGTACTCGATAAGAACCGCGCCGTCGGCGTCGTCTACAGACCCAACTCCGCCTCGTCTGCTGCTGAAGACCGAACCGTCAAAGCCAAAAAGCAGGTTGTCCTCTCCGGCGGAGCTTTTGGAACTCCAGCTATACTAGAAAGGTCCGGCGTTGGCAATCCTGAAATATTAAAGAAGGCCGGCGTGCAGCCCGTTGTGGATCTCCCCGGCGTTGGCCACGGATATGAAGATCACCATATTATCGGATACCCGTACCGGTCGAGCTTAAACCCGGACGAATCCCACGATTCGATTAACGGGGGCCGCTTCAACATGGATGACCCCGAGACCCGCAAACTTCTAGGCTGGAATGCCGCGGATATCACTTGCAAGCTTCGGCCGACGGAGAGTGATGTTGCTGCTTTAGGTCCCGAGTTCCAGGAGGTATGGGAGAAGGAATGGAAGCACAACGCGAACAAACCTATGGCAGTCATGGCGGCATACAATGCGTAAGTCAAAAAGTTTATTGATGATACCTTACCTATTTTTGCTATAATTCTAACAATGGCCAGATTCCCCGGAGTGCCTATTGGTCTCCCTATCGCACAGTACTTCGGCCATAACATATTCTCTCCATACCCCGCCTCCCGCGGCCACGTACATATCACCGGCCCCGATTTAGACGACAAGCTGGACTTCGAGTCGGGCTTTTTCGCAGACCCGGGTGGAAACGACATCAAGAAGTGCAGGTGGGCGTACAAGGTGCAACGCGAGATCGCGCGCCGCAGATCAGTATACCGGGGCGAAATAGCTCGCGGCCACCCGCCGTTCGCAGCCGACTCTAAAGCGGCATGCATCGAGACGGAGGAGCCCCTCCCAGCGACGATCTCTAATATCGAGTACACGCCCGAAGACGACGCCGTCATCGACCAGTTCTTACGTGAGAACGTCCAGACGACGTGGCACTCGCTCGGCACGTGTAAGCTGGGCAAGCGCGAAAACTTGGGCGTGGTAGATGCGAACCTAGACGTGTATGGCACCGAAGCGCTGAAGATCGCCGATCTTAGCATCATGCCTCACAACGTTGGAGCGCACGCTGCGAACATGGCTATGGTGATCGGCGAGAAGGCCGCGGACATTATCGTTCGTGAGCTAGGACTTGCGCACTAATAGCGGTGACTTATGATATGCGCTTAGGAGGTACCTAGGTCCTAGGGTAGATAGTTGCTACTACTAATTAACACCTGCGTAAGGATGTATCTGCCTCTGTCCTAATTCTAGGTAGTTATGCGATAGGTACTTCAATGTTGCTTCAAAATCGGATATTGAAATCCCATTGCTACCTTCACGTTGCTTTGCATAATTGACCTGACATTCCGACTCCTTCGCCGAGGACAAATGCGATGAAACTCCAGACGGATACTTCCGAGCATGTGGAAGCTAAAGGGGTCCTGGATATGTGTCCGTAACCCCCTTAACCCTCTAGGCCTCTTATGGTTCTTAGAGGGATATGTAAGTGAGGTTGTATCTGACTTCGATACCGTGCTTATACACACACAAGTTTTTATTCGCTCGCAGCCCATCTCCCAAGTTTTGCTATGATAATATTCTCGCCCTGATAGACTAGCGGTGTGGTAACCATTATTCGATCGAAAGTCTCGGCTCCTCAGTTAACGACATCTTGTATAACCGAATCACCTACCTACCTATCTCCTAATGCAACCACACAGTTCGTGGCGTTGCCTTCTAGAAAATTGCGCCGTTGCATTGTACCCCCTTAACCCAATATCCGCTGCTCTGCCGTGCGACTACACGGTACACCCCGCAGATACATCAGCCAATGGGGCGTCCAGAGGGGGAAGCTGGAATTACTCGGCTTAGGTGAGTGCGGTGTTGTATCGAAGGATCAATACTATGGAAACGCATGGTGCGTGTGGTCATGTTATATGCAACCCTAACCAACAAACAGCCCCTCTCTTTTAGTTATGGCGCAGTCTTAGCATTTTCTTTTGAGAAAAACATTATAATATTATATTAAAAATAGTCACTTTAAAAATCAGAAAAAATAGCTAAAGTCAATAGGTGTATAAATCAGGTTTTAAAAAGTAAAATGATATATATAGTAAATAGGTTTCGGTTGTTTTTTCTAATATAATCATTTATAGGCATTTAAGAAGGTTAATAAAATCAAAATGCCAAGACTGTGCCATCGATTTTCTCTCCAGGCTGACCAACCGACCCTGCAGAATATTCAATGTTTTCTACCGATGTGGAACTGAACTCATGTATGTACGTAAAAGATGATTGCAGAGAACAGCTTGCGTTTATGAAATTACCTCATCTAGGCTCGATTGGCAGACAGTTAAAGCTGTGACTTTACATGTTCCATATTTTCAACGGCTATCGTGATGCCGATGAGTCAGTCCTACATACATTAGGTACCTAACCCAGTTGTGCATAAGAACAGGAGGGAAAAGATCAGCTAGTACGCGCGTGTGTTGTATCTTATTGATTCCACAGACGAACCCACTTCTCCATGTCCTGACGGCCGATGCTGACGCTTTGTTGTAATACGGCACTCGTATAGACAGCATTCGCCATTTCAAACTGGGGAAATGTTTTTGCCGCAAGCTGTTCTTCGTAGAAGTCAATCAGCCTTAACGCCGGATTGACATCATCCGGGTTCTGTCCAGCCTGTTCAGCTTCGAGGTTGTTGGCGGATTCGCGAAGTCTTCTTAGCCATTCCTCGCGGGAGACGACAACCAGTGGGGCTTTGCCGACGTTCTCATGTTGGTCTGATCCTAGTTTGAGATCCTTAGATACTTCCAAAATAGCAGGTAGGAGATTGGACCAGCTCGTGAGCTTTGGATTCATCAAATGATAGACCTGGGGACGACTTGGTTGGTCGCGGCTTGGAGTAGCCCCTTTGAGTAGAATCTCGATAATGACATCTGCAAGCACATCGACTGGAATCCAATCTACATCTTCTATGTCTGTACCATATGCGCCTAGTGAATCGGGAATGGCACCCAGGTGCATAGAACCGGAAATGAGACGCGGAATCCACTCCTTGGGATTCCATCGCCCTGGACTACGAGTCGCACCGCACACTTGGCCGATGCGCGCCACCAGGACAGGTATACGAAGTTTTTCAGCAGCGTGATATAGCACACGCTCGGCTACGTATTTGCTTTCGGCGTAGCCAGCCGCAGCCGGGACTGACAAGTCGTCGAATATCTCTTCGGGAACCGGTTTGCCAGAGCTGAGGGCTAGATCCATGACGGCGCTGATAGAAGACAGGAACATAATTGCCGGGCGATGAGGGCTTTGGAAAGAGAACTTGCATAAGTTTTCAACGCCTGTGAGGTGCTTCGCGAATGCTGGCAAAGGAAGGTTAAAGTCGACAGACCAGGCATTGTGGACAATGAGCGTGGTTGACGAAGATAGCGCTTTGAAGAGCTCCGGTTCGAGATTGAAGGTATCATGGGACAGGTCTGCTTCGATGAAGTGAACAGTCTTTGGGAACGCTGTGGGCAGTTGGGGGTCGACTTGTGCGTTGTTGATGCGCTGCCTTGCGGCAGAGTCGGAGCCACGGTTTAGACAGTAGATAGTATTGATGTGCTCATTCTCTATAAGCGCCCGAAGAATGTATGCCCCTATGGAGCCTGTTGTTCCCGTCACAATACAGACATGGGAAGTACCTTCACCTTGCTCCCTACTTGCTGTCTGGGGCCGAGTCTCGGCCAGTTGGTCGATACGGCGCGTAAATAACGCTAGAGTTTCTTCAAGGCCTGACCTGCGCTTATCTTGCTCATTTAAAGGATGCTCATGCCCTTTAGATGCTTTTTGGATTGCTTTAGCAAGCTTAATAGGTGTAGGGTTCGAGTAAATCGTGACGGGCTTCAGATTTTCTACGTTAGTTTTCGACCTAAGATTCCGGCACAGTCGCAAGATCTGAAGGGAATCAATCCCACGAGCTAGTAGATCGTCATTTATCCCTATTTCCTGAAGCGTTGTTGATTCTTCGCAGGCCTTTCGAACCACAGCGAGTACGGCGTCCAAGTCATCCAGGTCAACTTGGCTCCCCGCGTTGGTAGAGGACTCGACGCTAGTAGATTCGACTTCTTTATACAAATTGTTGATTTCTTCGGCGTATCGGTCTAGCGTAGCTTTTCTCATAACAGTGCCTTTGGGGGTCCGTAGGAATGGTTTCTCTGGCGTCGAAAATAAAATATGAGATGTTGCTATTCTAGCATGCGTCGGTGCGTCCTGGTTGGCCTCTTCTATGATCGGCCATAGCCTTTTAATCCAGTCTTCTATATCTTCTGGCGACAGCGTGCTTTTATCCTTAAGCTCTATAAGGACTCCAGCCTCGAATCGTTGGCTTCCGAATACTACTGCCCCTTCAATATCTAGGTGCTTGCTCAGATGGTTCTCAAATGAAACGGGGTTTGTCTTCTCGCCGTTGAGAAAGACAATAATATCATCTGCTCGTGATGCATGTGCCCACATGTCAGGCCTCGTGGGATGCTGCTTGAATAGATCGCCGGTATTAAACCTCTCTAGCTCTGGGAATCTATCGAAGACTGGTTGGTATGGCTGAGTGGACGCCGATTTCTTTAGGACAAGTTCGAAGCTATCCTCAGTTCGGGGCTCAAGTACGGCGTTAATTTTAGGATGGAACGCCATATACTCCCAGTCCTTCGCCGTATCGAGGTCCTCCGGGTATATAATCGGAAGCCCTGCGGTTTCACTCGACCCCAAGAAAGTCACCAGCCGGATCTTCTGTGCGATGATGTCTCCTAGCATCTTTGGGAGAGCACCTCCAGCAAATACAATCATCTTGAGTCTGGAGGCAATATGATCCAGCATTGTCTCATCTTTGGCAAGCGCCTCCAAAGTAAAAGGCGCCGTCATTACCCAGTCAGCTTCCACATTACATGAAATACCGAGGAGACTCTCGATAGAAGGAGGGCCTAGCCATGATGGTAGGATCACAACGCAGCGGTTATAAATGGCATTAATAATGGCAAGCTGTACACCGGCAGGGTGAAAAAGAGGAAGCAATAGTATGTGGGTGTTGTGGCCCAGGTGAGATTGCAATAGTGTGTAACCATTTGGAGGCGAGAGCGACAAGGTCCTGGCTGTCCGGAGGATAAACTCGTGGGTGTATATGCATGGTTTGGGGATTCCAGTAGTGCCAGAAGTATGACAGACGAATGATCCATCCCCTTTAGCTTTTTCCAGTGTTGTTTGGTAGAGATACGGCTCATAATTATGGCTAAGGAGATGCTCAATTTCTTCCATCTTCAGCAACCGCATCTCCCTCCTCTGTAGTATTTCATCTACAGAGGAAGGGACCGGCCCGGATACGATGATCTCGGTGCATTCTAGATTTTCCAGTAGAGACAAATGAGCCGCAACAGTGTTGCGAGGGCTGGTAAGGAATATCTACAAGCATATTAGCATCGATCCGAGATTCTGTAAATCTTGTGGTAAATCCAACCTTATATCCGGCCTTGATAGCGCCTACGAAGGCGAAGATATAACGAAAGTCGTTAGGCCCTATATATGCGATGGTAGGAGTGCGCTCCTGGTCCCCGCGTCCAATTTCGTTCTCTAGCCATTGAGCAACTCCATTTATAGCATTGGCTAACTGGCGATATGTGACATCTTTAAACCCGGCATCATAGTTTGATGGATCAACTGGATATTTTCCGTAGAGCGATTCCGGCTCCGTTGCTGCAATTTCGTCTATAACGTCAGGTAGAAGTTTGGGATCCTCTTGGTGAGCCATCGTTGATCTTGTCTCTTCTATGTTCAGGTGCAAGTGGGGGAATGCAGACGGCGAACTAGGTATATCATGAATTTGGAACAGGGCCTCAAATAACAGGTTTAACGCCGATACGCAGTCAGCATGGATCTTTCCAATCCTCCCTTTGCTTCCGGATCATATCATATACCGAATCAGGGCACAAGATTATACGCCTACCTATATCTAACCGCCAAGGCATATACGTAAGTGATCGTCAAGTTAGGTAGGTACTTATGTAAATCAACAACCAACATACTTTCAAATTACACGATAAATCAGATGCTAGCAGTGCCGCTGAATCCTTCCTATACGCCCCACCTATTTACTATTCTATAATAGTAAATATAGTAATTTTTAGAGCTAAGCTTAACCTATCACGACGCCCTTTTCTTTCCCCTCATAATAAATAATAAGGCCGATGCCTCTCAATAAGATGTCACGGTAGGTGTGATCGGCCCCTACTTTTCGCATCGCGATGTCAAGTCCGGACAGTCTGGGTCCTTTATTCGAGCGCATAAACATCGCCTTCTTCACAGTAGCAGGCACTTCCTTTGCATTGAGGGTTTATGTACGCGCTATTCTGATAAATGCATTCGGAAAGGATGATTATTGGATGACAGCCGCAATGGTGCGTTCTCCAATCCATACTTAGATACAAGGTATCTAAACTAAAAGCAACAGGCGGCGTATATAGCCAACACCACAATCGCTATTTTGAGTGTGAAGTATGGCTCGGGGCAGCATAAATGGCTTATAGAGCCAGAAGACATCACGATGGCCTTGAAGGTTAATAAAGATACCCCTCCGCTGTTCCAAATAGCCAGGTACTGACGATTGAATAGCTCACATACGCAAGCGAGATAACATACGGAACGACGATGATACTTACAAAAATGTCCATCGCAGCGTTTTTATTGCGAGTAACGCCACATAAAATTCACCGACGCATCATATATACCGCTGCAGCGCTAACCTGTGCTGCTGGGTTGACTCTAGTCTTCATCGTCATGTTCCAATGTAAACCAGTGTCATTATTCTGGTACAGAGATCAGCCTGGATCGTGTTTGCCGGTGGACGCGATCATTACCAGCACATACTGTTATAGCGCTTTCGCTATCCTGACCGATTTCACCTTTACATTACTCCCATTATATCTCATTTGGAAACTTCAAATGGACATGAAGCTTAAGATAGTTCTCGGCCCAATCATGTGTCTAGCATTTATGTGAGTATCCAAGATGCAACACTCCAGAATCATCGTTAACGACAGAAAGGGCAAGTCTCGCCGTTATCATTCGGCTTCCTTACGTTAGCGACTTTAAGAAAGATGATTTCCTATGTGAGTTTACGTTACCAGTATCTTCAGTACTCTGCTAACTTGAGACAGACGCCACCACTAACTTTGCCATATGGTCAGCGGTTGAGCAAAGTCTGGCGATCACAGCGGGTAGTTTAGCTACACTTCGTCCGTTGCTCCGTAGGGTATCTGACCGTTTCAAGACTTTAAGGGCGTCATTGTGGAATAGTGCAGATAACGCAACAGCCCATAGCAATGACTCTGCCACGGCGCAACTCACTGCACGCCGGGCGGATGAGTTCAAACTTCAAACTCGAAATCCATAACTTTTTTCCATATGTCTTCTTCACTCCGGTTCATTTCGCGGTTCATGTTCGTGATCCCATGCCTATCAAAGCAATAGTCGAACCGAATAGGTGCTGGTCTTCTGTCATCGAAAATGTGACAATGCTGACACGGCCTCGCGGGACTGGAAGTCGGGGGCGGGTCATTATGACGATAGAAACATATCGTCGATCGCATGATTACACCCGATGTGGTACTGAGAGCAGACTGCATCAAGCGCCATAACTTCCTACATGATTGTAGTATTTGGAGGCGAAGCCAAGTAACGTTGGATTAGGGTAACTGGATATCCATATTACTTATTGCATTGAATTATTAATAGCGAGAGTACAGGGCCGTGCAAATGATCCCGTACCCACGGATCCAGGGTACCTTCATTGCGGATGTCAGATCCTCTCTATGCTGACAAGGTCCCTGGTCTTGAATACCTAACGCCGAACAACCCGGGAACATAACGCATTAACACGTAAGCGGATATTAAAAGATGACGGGAGAATATCATTTGCAGACGCCCTTTTCCGCCTCAACGTCTGCCACAACAAACTCGACGTATCCCACACCAATCACCGTCACGCACGGGCCTACAACATCGGGTCTTCATCGGTGTGGCTTTGGCTGGTTCGGACATAGCTGGCGTCTACATCCCGTGCTATCCTTTCCAATGGGCGCGCTTAACGCGACTGTAAGGATATGTACCTAGGTCCTAGGATACATAAGGCGGTGAGGCTTAGACTTAGGCCTCCCATTAAGCTCCCGTCATGCTATGTACTTCGATGGACGGGTACGTACGAGCGAACATCGGCCCGGTACATGCTTGAATCCGGGGATGTAAGAATCATAACGGGTTTTTTGCCGGCGTCTCGGGGACAGGGGGGATTCCGGCGTCTATATTACTAGACGGCGGCTCGGACCCATCATCCTGCATGGCATACGGTTGGGCATGGGTGGGCGAATATCCACACCACATGCCATGCCATGCCGTGCCATCAATGGTGACATGGATGATCTTACCTCGCAGGATTTCGCCTAGAATAAAGATCTTACTCTAGAAGCTATGGAGCCATTTTCTGCCAGGATAGGTATTAACTAAGCCCAACGTGCTCATCGCCGAGACGTCAAACCTCAGTTGAACGCGAAATGCCGCGGGATTGGTGGAGAGATATCTACGAACTTCATAGGATCCAGGGAATTATGATGAATACGAACTTAAATACGGTAGATGTTTCTCGAAATAGAGTCTTAGTTAGTTAGTAGGATATACTTCCTATAGGACTAAAATAAAGCCTAATCTAGAAATTCCCCGACTTATTTTAGGAACAGGCTCCCTCTTCTGAGTAGCTAGAAGAGATATCTGGTGTATCTAAGTTATAGACACACCATAGAAACCCTTGGCCAGCGTAATTGTAAGATACATTGCCAAACTGAGTAGTGAGAGATACGATTAGGATTGCATATGAACCCAAGATGGAAGTTGTAATGAGTAGTATACACCCTACTCCACTCAGTACACCATCATCACCATCATCGTCTTTGTCAATGTCGGTACAACGCAGTACAAACACACTTCTTCTAGTATACTTAGGTCGTTTCAAACTCCGACTCGTTGGCTAAGTACCTAACCTATTCGATAGGTACTGGGTTTAATCTCACCATAATTTTAATCCTAGTGCCGGTTTCTGTCAGGATACTAGATGAGACATCTGGGACAAAGAACATGTATGCAGGTATATACGAACCATAGGCTCGCCAGATAGGTTAGAGTTCCCCGCGGAACAACGAAGTTGTTTCCATGCTGTTTGGTTCCACCTCGTGACAGTTTCGACGTGAGATAAAACACCGATGTTGCATATTTGTGGGTTAACTATACAATAGTGTGGAATGAATATCCATGAATAGCCTATTCCATCAACCAGTTTGAGGCTACCCCTTTTGCGTTCTGGTGCCAGTTGGCCAGCTTCACTGTCGTTTATCGATGTAATAGGAAGTAGTACCGGAACAGTTCCCCATAATCAGGAGTAGAGAAATGCAATTGGGTACTCTAGGACCGTACGAGCCATCCAGTTCTGTTCGTGGAAGCCCTACGTATCATACCCAATTACAAAGGAGGCGTCCAACTACCGGTCAGGGGAATACCTAGCGACAGGACGCAACCCAACCTCATACTAGATAGCATTAACCTTCAGGACAAGCGGTAACCAAGGCCTTGGCAATACTAGTTCGCCCCTTATTGTCCTTGATTGCAACGAAAAAGATTTAGATTGTATGAAGCCATATCCATCCGACCGATGGCAAAGGCCGAGGAGATTCCTGCGGCTGAGTGTGTTGCATGTAGGAATGCCCGACTTGACGAGGCGAGCCTTATGACCTTACCTTGCCATGTCCAGCTCTACCCCAGGTTTCAGGGAAAAGAAGGGTCCTTCCCGAATCATGTCCATCTACTCGGGATTTGTCTGTATGTATAAAGCGGTGAGAGGTGATACAAATTTTGCCATCGTGACACTTCTGTCTGACAGTCATGATATCTTACCTCAGCTAGGTGCACTAAACGCGAGCTCGGGAGAGATCGAACATCATAATAAATCATGAAATCTTGATTAAGCAAAATTTGTATATTTTGATCGACATAGTATGTTCGACACGTGTAGATCCATGGTTCTGGAATAGTAGCAGAGGTAATACCCAGGCAGATAGATAAGTTAGGTACCTAGCTTTAAAGATAGGTAGTAGGCTATCACAAGTACCTCCCAGAGTACCTCCGTAGATATCGGTGATTATCGTACCAGAGGATACAACGCTCCAGTAGATAGATATATTGTCACGTCGTATGTGTTGTATGAATGATAATATCAACGCGTTAGCAAGGGGCCTAGCTGGAATAACATTGCATGTCTCCTGACCAACTTGCCCTGCAGGGCGACGGTATTATTGGTTTCACGACCAACTCAGCTCTTCTGCATGAATGCGATAATAGTAGGAAATTTAAGGATTGCCAGCTGTGATCGAGAAGGCAATATTCAGAAGCAACTAGCCGTGGCCAGATCGGCCACCGGGTGTCGCGAAATGCTGGACGACCACCCTACTTTTCCCCTTTCCTTGTTTTCTGGGCCCAGGAAGGCAATGGATTGGGGAAGTTTCACCTGGTACAGCATGCTAGCTTCGTCATCGCGGCCAGCCAGGAATCATATTGCCGTCGTAGGACCAAAAGCATTATGCCAGGCACATCTTTTTTTTTTCTCCGGAGGCAGTGTAGTTCAACTAAGAATGCTTGACTAATTGCAACCTTCACCGGACGTTCAGGAGGCTCAAAATTTTCCAAAGCAAAAGCTAAATGCTCAAGGTGCCGGAGATGTCCGGATATGCGGGACTGGCATCCGAAGTCTATCTGCTGCTAAAAGGGTCCTCTGCGAAGCTATCGTGACTATTGACGAGATACGTCGGCGTGATACCCTCGTACTAGCCTCCGAGAGGCTGGACAGCCTTGGCCCTTAACTATATGGGGAACTTGGGCCCTACATACAAGGCACTAATATGTCAATATTTTATGTACGTGCCCAGTGCCGGCTCCAGATAATTCATGCTTACTGATGGAGATGTCAGCCCTTCGATGTGGGTTTTTTTACCTTGATATTCCCACTTAGTTTCTAACTATACTACTCCTACCGGAGCCTAAACCGTTTTTGGTATTAATGCGTGGTCATTATGTATAATAGTAACTTCAGGGCTATTATGCATGACATATCTTAATCTACCCAAGTACCTTGTAAGCTTGGGTTCGTTGTCATATCTCTCTGCTAGCCTGTTTAAGAATTATTTTGACTTAGCAACGTCAGTTGACTTTTACTGGTGGAATAACGAGTTGGATGTATGTAAATGTAGTTGAAGAAGCTGTTGAGTTAAACGTTTAAGATGAACGGGTCCCGCGGATCTAGAGGGACGATTGCCGTTCCATGGGAAGCAGATATGGCGTTCTCTCCGCCAATTGCAAATCGAATTTAGCTAGGTACTATCAATATAAGATGCCATGGAGGTGGTGAGGCATGCAGGTGAAGTGGAGGATGGTTGAATTATTAGGTGGTCCCAGGCTGAGTCCATCACGCTGGATGGTGCCGTGTAAGGACCCAGGCGTTTTGGTTCCAAAAAGGGTTTAAAGCCGTGGTGGGAATAATAAGGGACCAGACCAGTGGCCAGCAGCGGGACCGCAGTAGAAAAATAAAGGAAAAAGGCAAATGAAGATACCCGTGGGTTGGTCACACTAAAAGTAGATAAATGTACCTAGGTACCTAGTGGACACTAATGTAGGCGTACATAGGCGAATCTAAATATATCTAAATATAGTCGCGCCGAGGTCAACTAGCGAATCGGCTGCTTGCGCTGGTGTCGTCATGGCAGGTTAGAGGACGGAATTGGAGCAAAGCGAATTTAACGATACGTTAGGTACATAATTTTTCTGATCTTTCTAGTCATCTTTCTAGTCTTTCTTCAAACCTTCTACGCCCTCTCCACTTCGGTCCCACTACGGCCATGTGGATATGATCTGATGAAGCTTGGGGAGTTTAGTTTATCGATGCATTTCCAGACTGACCCCTCTCGTGAAAATATTACTATATCCAAAATTTGTTTTTGTCTTCCCTCTTTCTTCCTCGGTCCCCTCAGTTTTCGGTATTGGTGTTTTGAAGTAAGCTTCAAAGCAAACACCCCCCCTTTTCACAGTATGAATAGGCACTTGACCCCCAAAAAGTAGATTGGTGAGGGATTTGGGGAATGCATATGTAGGTACCTTAGGTGGTAGGTAGGTATGTACAGCGTAAAAAGTATGGAGACGAAATATGTAATTGTCATTGGGCAGTGGATATAAGAATAAGGCATGCAGAAGAAGGCAGAAGAACTCCTCGGGTAGTGTACGACTTGTAGACAAGATAAGGAAAAGAATAATGCGACTGTATTTCGACTGTACTGCCAGACTTGCGTCTGTGGCTGGACCCCGACGCGATCAAAGCAAGCTGCAATTGATAATTGTCCTGCAGGTAATTAATTACTCACCGCTTCTCGCGTTTCTGACTGGTCGACGGCGCGCAGCATCTTCCAATCCCCTCAAGATGGTACCAATCCGCGATACGTGGCGCGAGGACTGATCTTAGGCAAGGGACTGAGATGAACAAAAATAGAGCATCTTGATGAGCCACCTCGACCACGCGGATGGCTCATGTTGTGCCATGTCCATGCGAGAAGCGAC